GTTTCGTTATTGATGTATTGCCCAGACTTTTCTATGCAGGTACCCTGTTTTGGTGTTTTGGGGTGACCTAATCCTTCTATTGAAGGATGCCAGGTAGATTTTGCGATACATTTTGGGTTTACACTCTAATATTTTAAATTTAAAAAAACGGATTATAGACCATTATTACACCCAACAGTTATTTTGGTGGCAATATGAAGTATAAATCATTTTAATCACGCACGATTAACGCAAAATGAAAGAATATCGATAGTGAGTAAAGAAAGGGGTAACTAGCACCTTAGGCCCTTAAGTTTATAGGCCCGTTTATAGGTCATTCTTGCACCCATCGATCCAGAAGCCTGACTTAACTCGGAAAAAAAGGTTTTTCGACCTCGAGCCGTTACCTATCTATATTCTATCTATACCACAGCATAGTCCAGGGTAAGTAGAATCCGAAAAGCAGATGGGTGTAATAACGACCTATACGCCTATAGGCTGTTCTTGGTGCGGTGTCCTCAATTGTAATCTTCCTTCGCATTTCTGAGGCGCAATGATACAACTATTTGAACTCTCCGGAATGCAGGAGGTATCACGCCGCATTTGAAGGCGTTTTCAAAACAGCCAAGTTCCGATACCCGGATTATCGATTTGTAAAGTTCATATTATTATGTTTTATTTCCTACCATTTTTTCGTTTTCAATCCTCGGGGCGATGGGCGTAATAACGACCTATACGCCTATAGGCTGTTCTTGGTGCGGTGTCCTCAATTATTGTATTCGGGTAGACATGTACGAGGTCTGTTCAATAAGTTTCAGGACTTTTGCCATAAAAACGGCAATAATGATTCGATTTTACTTTTCTTGGTGTTAATAAAAAGTAGAAAGCGAGACAAAAACAGTGCTTTTTACAAAAATAAGATATCATTATTGGTTCTCAAGGTACAGCAGCTTAAAGTGACAGACTCAAAGCCGCGCTGCGATTTTTAGGATTGCGAAATCAGTTATTTTTTCTCATCGCCAAAATGTTGTAATTTTTTGCTCGGACGATCATATAAAAAAGAAGAGATATTCACAAATACATTTTGAAGAATAACCTGATATTTGTGTCCCTTTACAGCTTATTCCCTTCAAAATACTGGCCTTGGCTGACGATGCATTTCCGCCAACGATCCGCCAGATCACGGAAGGCTTTTTGAAAACTCTCTGAGTTGATGCGCTGCAACGTTCGGATCGTGTTCATTTGAACGTCTTCCACAGATTCAAATCGTTTGCCTGTGTACAAATACGACCCGGAGACTAAAGCCCAGTCCTCTCAACGGCTCAAAAAGTCTGACCCAATGCCCAAGACGTTCAAATGAACACGATCCGAACGTTGCAGCTCATCAACTCAGAGAATTTTCAAAAAGTCTTCCGTGATTTGGCGGATCGTTGGCGGAAATGCATCGTCAGCCAAGGCCAGTATTTTGAAGGGAATAAGCTGTAATGGGACACAAATATCAGGTTATTCTTCAAAATTTATTTGTCAATATCTCTTCTTTTTTACATGATCGTCCGAGCAAAAAATTACAACATTTTGGCGACGAGAAAAAATAACTGATTTCTGAATCCCAAAAGTCGCAGCGCGGCTTTGAGTCTGTCACTTTAAGCTGCTGTACCTCGAGAACCAATGATGATATCTTATTTCTGTAAAAAGCACTGTTTTTGTCTTGCTTTCTACTTTCTATTAACACCAAGAAAAGTAAAATTGAACCATTATTGCCGTTTTTATGGCAAAAGTCCTGAAACTTATTGAACAGACCTCGTAAAATGACAATTATCTGAAACTGGCTATTGTTTTCAAAAACTTTTATTTCGGCTGTGGTTAATAATAAACGGGGTCAGCTCTACTGGTCGTAGTGTTTTAGTTGTTGAAAAAACACTGTATGAAGTTACTCATGAAAAGACAGATTTAACCAGAGCATGCCCAACTATTGCTGCATTCCAGGTCATATAGGTTCCTGCCGTATACCGCCAAATAAGCCACATGATGCCTTAAAAATTTCAAATCAGAATGTCGCTTCGTTGTCTCATGAAAAAAACACCAAGAACGTCGAACATACAACGTTTTATTCATTTAGGCCATGACTCTGGTTAAACTTGTACGAGGTATATAACAATAAGCTTCCAAATGTTTAACTCCCTCCTCCCCCTCCAAACAGAACTGGATCTTCCTCCCTTAAAAAATTACGTCGTGCGTTCTTTCCATCCCTCTCGTTTTACGCACAAATGAAAAAGAAGGTTTTGGTACCCTTTGGTATAGTGACTGCAAAATATACCAAATGATCACTAAGAGAACTTCTTTATCTACCCTTAAAAACCATAAAACTCTTTAAAACTTTCTTCTCGAAGTGCGGTCTTTTAAGTGTTCTGAGCAGTGCATATAGCGACGAGACGTGTCAAATAAATGGCACTCTTAAAATTTTACACAATTTATTTTTAAAACTTCATATCTTCAACTCTTAAGACCTCTATTTCGAACAGCATCGTTTTGAGGAGGCGTATAACGTGGCACTGTTAGCTGTGAGTTAGTGCCTATCAAGGCGCCTTCACTTTCTCTCCACGCAACACGCGCAACTTTCGAGTAGTAATATTCGCATCACTCAGGCGTTACCTTCAGCGCAGTGTATTTCCATTATATTTGATATATGTTAGTGAAGGCATCTTCTTCCACATTGGAATGATGCCATGGCTATCAAAATTCGATATATTGACACTATGAGGCTCTGTGGATTTATGCCAATTTTGAGTCAGCTATAAAAATATGAACCATATTTTCACCCCAGAAAAGAGGGTCACAGGCACCAGATTTTTCAAAAGGAACAAGAATAAACACTTCTTTATTCGAGGTTTGTTAAATACCATCGTAGATTACAGACACCGTATTGGCTGTGAAAGAAGCAGAAAAGTGTTCTTACACACACACCAGAAGAAAAAGAAGAAAAGGGAGAAAAAATGCAGGTGCTAGACACGCAGCCAATCAGAAAAAAAACCCCATGGAGCCTCGTATTGTCAATATATCGAACTTTGATAGCCATAGCATCATTTCAACTTGGAACAAAATACTCTATGCGACATTTTCCCGCCGTAGTGATGACGTCACCTTGGCAGATCATTAAAATCAACCAACTTGTTTTTTTATCCTTATTCGTAGTTTATGCCAACTTGTTTTTTTATCCTTATTCGTAGTTTATGCTCACCTTTCCATGCCCTTTCGTACCTAAATCGTCAAACTCAAAGTTATTTATAAGCTAGAGCTACACGATATCGAACTGTCAAATTCATTTTATGTCATGGTTGAATCGTCATTTTCCTCACGAAAGAACGTAGGTAATACATTTCAATGTTGCCAAACTTCCTTGCGCAGACTTCACTTTTACCGAAGGATTTTGATCATTTTAAATTGAAAATTTTACTGATTTTTCTCCCGATCTCATGCAAAAAGGAGACACATTTTGAAATAAAAATTTCAAAGGATACTCTTGCACAAAATGGAATGGTTTGAGCCATTTTTGCAACCTTAGAGTAGAGTTACGTTCTTTCCTCAACGGCTTTCGTCCTTCGGAAACGACGAAATGAAGCCATTGCAAGGCCACGTGGGATAGATTATTTTTGTGATTTTTGGGCATCGAGCGGAGATTATTTACCAAAGTCTGTCTTTTCAAATGTTCGAATTATGACACAAATTTGTAATTGATATGTCGCAGGCAATTCGCAATCGCCGGCAATTTACAAGCTGGTGGTGGATAAATATAGGAAATCATAAAATTCAAAAATAAAAGAACGAGATTAGAGTGCTGATTATGTTACCTGTAATGTGAATAGACACTTTTACATCCAGAAAAACATGGCAGGAATATGCACACTTAGAAGAGCGTGTAGTGAACTCTGTGACATTAGTTGGATTGAGATCGGACAGACAACAAAACTAACATCGTGACAAAACGTAGAGTATCACAAAAAATGAAGGCGCTTCAAGCCGAGCTCATACTTTTGAAGACCATAACGCTCAAAAATTGCATTATTCCGATGCGCATCATTGCGATTTATTGAAACAACGTGTGAACCGCTTGCAAATTGCCGGCGATTGCTAATTTCCTGCGACAGATACAAAGCGGCCCTCAGAGGGCGAAAACCTCAAAGGGGAGACTTTTGGTTCTTCTCTATCTCGAAAAATATGTTTTAGAACAATGATATTCAGGAGCAAATGACATAAAGAAAAATGGTAGGGGCACACAGATTTAACCCCACTGTATTAAAGTGTATAGTGCCCGCTCTCTTTAAATTATCGAATATGATTCAGGATTTAATCGGAAAGAGCACATTGTCAAAGGCAAGGTTACTTATCTCATCGGTTAGCACCATCAGGAAAACCTACATAATTTGTCCGACTAGCACCGGGAGGACCTACATAATTTGCCATTTTATCGGTGAAAGAAAGTTTAAAGAATAGGAAAAAAAACGTAATTGGGGAAACGCAGAAAACAGAAGAAGGAAAAACAAAAAAAGATCAAACAAAGGAAGAGAGTAGTGGTAGTGAAATAATTTTATTTTCAAGAGGTGCCTAACTTTGGAGCCCATTGACACCTCTCATACACTAACATGAGAGCGTTTCAACTTTCAGAATGTGTTTCGATAGAAGATATAAAGAAACTTAGAATAAAAGAGAATAATACTCGAATTTTTAATATTCATCCTCTTCTAACGACTAGTGCATAGCCGTGTTTGTCAGGCCATCAAGTAATGAGCACAAGAAACTATATCTAAGTATTACAAATCTAAAAAATACGAATCTTATTAGGAATTCTTAATACAGTGGTATATTCCATCACTGGACCTTCAGTGTGTTGGAGAGGGCGAGGGGCAGGCTATATTTTAAGATTAGAGAATAAAGAGGAAAGAAGTAATGAGGTAAAAAACCAAAAGTAAGAACATATAAAATCGTTCTATTTTAAAAGTTACAAATCAAACGTAGAGCGTCGCAAAAAATTTCAACAAGGAAAAATAAAGGATAGTCGTCACAAGGACACAACTAACCCGGTAGTTACAACAACTGCCATGGTACGCTGGTTGTGACGACTAAATTTTTATTCGTGAATTGTGGCTCAGTGAACATTAATATCTCTAGTGTCAATTACCGCTGGCCAGCCTGGCATCAGCTGCTCGTATTATTCTGTCAGTGTATGCGTACTCTACTACTTTCGTACAGCACTCGGCACAGTTGAAAGCTACAGGTGGGTTACCCTCTGATTGTCGTTGTTGAGTCGCGGCGCATGTCAAGCATATTGTCAAGTGACCGCAAGGTTTCATTAGAGCGTTTTTATAGTTGGAATAGCATATACAGCATTCTGTAAAATGGGGTAAATCAACTCAAATTGGGTCCGTCACATGCAAGACACAAAGCTACCTCAGTAGAGTCTTAACAGGTATGTTTGTACAAACATTGAGTTGAAGATCATAATCAGTACACTGGCTTGAATAGCAAGGTTGCTGCGAGATTGCAGTCATGGCAGTAGCTTGCAATTCTATGCAATACTGCTGCAAAATCGCAAATGAGGAACTGTTAAGGCTTGGATTGCAACATCTCTCCGAACGTGGATCGCAATCTTGCTGAAAACTTGCCCAGCATTTTAGAAATTGTGGAAAAACGAGTTAGCAGGAAGCCTGCACAAGAGCTTTTTGCAAATACAATCAAACTTGCACTAGTCTCGCAAAAATTTTGAAAAAAAGAGTTTGCAGCAGCTTTTCTTGAGTTTGCCGTCATCTTCCGTGGCGTATTTTATTGTTTCTTATTTTCATTTTGCGTCGAATACGCTGTGTCGATCATGTTATAGCCACAATGGGCCTGTTGCAAACTTTTGCTAGAGCAAAAATAAGAGTTGTTTCTTATAGATAATGCCTCAAAAATCACGATGACCGCATCGGCAAAGTTTGAAATGCACTCATAACTTCACAGTCTGCGTAAGAAATTTGCGGTTTTTTGAGCTTCCCGCTTCAAAAACGATACTACGGCACAGGTGAACATTTTGTAAGAGGAGTCGTTCCGTCGTCGGCAATAATCATCATGACCGACGCCAATCCGCCAAAACACGTTTGAAGGGACGAGATAACACCTGAACTGGATTAGACCAGATAACAATCGGTGTGTTAACGCTCATATTTTCCACGCCCGAATTGGTTGACCTTGAACTCTCCTCGAATTACGCGCGGAGCTGCGCGCAAGCGTCGGCCATGATGAATATCGCCGACGATGGAGCGACTCCTCTAACAAAATGTTCACCTGTGCCGTAGTATCGTTTTTGAAGCGGGAAGCTTAAAAAAATGCAAATTTCTTACGCAGATTGTGAAGTTATGAGTGCATTTCAGATTTTGCCGATGCGCTCATCGTGATTTTTGAGGCATTATCTACAAGAAACAACTCTTATTTTTGCTCTAGCAAAAGTTTGCAACTGGCCCATTTGGCAACGCCGCCATACGTGTTGGGGCCGCCCGCCGAAGGTGTTGAGATCTGATTCAATATCTAGTTTGGAAGCAATGTGAATCGGTATTCAACCAACATTTTTCTGTACGAAAGCTGGAGAAAGGATGTATCACGTCCTCCGAATGAAATCTGGCAGAAGAAACTAGTGCACTTTCATCATTATAGTGTCGCACATCTCAACTGAACAACGTTTTGCAATAAGGAACTATTATTTCTGACTCAACCATAAAAACACCAATCTGGTGAGGCAAATGAATTATAGTATACGTTGTTTTTAAAGTAAGCCTGAAAAAAGCAGTTCTTAATTGCGAAATGCAGTCCAACCATTCCTCTTATCGTAAAAATACCATCCCACGCTCGGCTACAAACACCGACAAGAAGATGTGTATTGATTTTGCAATGAGAAACTACAATTTCTGGCTCGGTTTAGAATGAACTTATGCACCATCAGTTTCCCCATGCACATATGGGTTTTTACGGATAAGCCAAATATTGTAGTTCTTAGTGCAAAATGTAGTCCAAATAACTTACTTTCATCATCGCTGGCATCATCGTCGGCTTCTTTGTCCCTCGGGTCGCGGGGTACTCGCGGAACTGGCGCCGAGGGCTGCTCGGTGGCCGCTGATGCTGTTAAAAATTCAGGGTGGTTCGTTACGAATCACGATTTACTTATATTTACTTACTGGAGGTGGCCAAACATCGGTTTTAGCACAAATGAACTACATTTTGCGATTAGGAACTACATATTTTAGCTCAATCTAGAAACACCGTATGCACCCTATGCACATGGGGGTGGTTTCACGATAACTGGAATAGTTGTGTCACCGTAACAGACAACACATTTTTCGGTCATATTTTTAGTAGACTTGATATTCACTCAAATTTTCTCCATTAATCTTCAAAGGGTTGCGTATTATAACGCTTTCTAATGATTTATTCCTCTACTTTTCAATTAATATTATGTAAATTCCGAAAATGTGCTGTCTGTTACGAGGTAAAAAGTCAGCGTGACAGACAGCACATTTTTGGCCATTCATATATTAAAATTGAAAAGTAGAGCGATAAATCTTTGAAAAGCTTTATAACACGTAACCCTGTGTAGATTAATGCAAAAAAAAAATTCGAGTGATTATCATTACTACTAAGAATATGACCGAAAAGTGTGTTGTCTCTTACGGCGACAAAACTAATCCAGTTATCGTCAAACCGCCCATGAGCGTTCTTACAGACGAGCCTGAAATTGTAGTTCCAACTTGCAAAATGTTGTCCAATGATTACTAAATTATTGGTTCCATCATTTGGGTTGGAAAGGGGATGGGAGGCAAATGGATCCATTGCGTCTAGAGGCCTTTTTTAGCTGTCTCTGCGCAAAGATTCTATTCTATAAACCCTAGAATAAAGCGAAAACATGCAGACGTGAAATATTGCATTCGAAATAGCTTTCTATTCTTTTAATTTTTTTTTTTTTTTTTTACACCTCCCATAATGCTAACACTGGAGGTAGACTCACGGTTTGAAAACTACCCATCTTGAGAGTTTTCAAGCTTATATTTTCAAGGCAAAAAAAGCAAAATTTCAATATATTTTGGTCTCTCTATGATGGATATGAACATGAGCCTAAAACATGTTCAAATCATTGATAACTATTGTTTAAAATGAGTTTTTTTTCGCTCTAAACTCCCCATCTTCCTCAGAATTGGTACAAAACTCGTAAAATTTTTCTTTGTGCATTGTTTTTTTCTGCAATGAGATTCCGTTTCAATCTCTTCCAAGGATCAGTTTCTGAAGTTAATGCGTCTAAAAGAGCGGACCAAATGAAGTGCTCAAGGCTAGAAAAATGAAATTCTAGCGAAGATCGGCTGGAATATCAAGGAGAGAACGTATATCAGAAATTAACGTGTCCGAGAGATCACAGGTATTAGAGAGACAATTAGATTACATTTTGCAATAACAGACCACTATTTTTTGCTCATTTTAGAGGCAACATATATGCCATTGGTTTCCCTATGCAGTTACGTGCTTTTATGGAAGAGCCGGAGATAGTGGTTCCTTATTGCAAAGTGTAATCCAATTCATCGTTACTCTTGGAAAAGAGGGTACCTACATGTCAATGTTGCCAAATTTCACCTCATAAATCGCATTTATACCAGGAAGATCTTTAGCACTTACTTGAAAATTTCCCCTGTGAATTTTATTCTAATGTCATGCAAAAATCAGAATAATTTTAGGGGAAAACTGAATTGTTGGAGTCAACTTCTAGAGCTTTTTTTTTTTAGCTTTGATGCTCGTTTCTGAAAAAACCAGTGGCACCATTGTGTTTCTCGTGAAATTTTACATAAACAAACACAAAAACTTAAATCGCGAATCCTTCATATGTGAAAGAGCTCTTTCGCGATGCGTTTAAATTTAAAATTTGAGAACATTTTAGAATTACCAATTAGAGCCGCTTCCAGATTCGTTTCTGCAGCTGATGGTTCGTAGCGAGGTGGTCGGCTCAGTGGTGGTTGGTTCCGCGGTGGTTGGTTCCTTGATGGTTGGTTCCGAGGTGGTGGGTTCTGATTAGAGCGGGAGGGGCGTTCACGTGGGTTTCGAGGAGGTGTTTCCGGCGGTATTGAAAACGAATCGGATTCCAGAAATTGATACGGGAATGTGGGTTCCCGCTGGATTGGTCGGGGACGGTTTCGTTTATAGGTCGTACTCTTATATTCACCTGCCAAGAAAATTTAATTTTACAAGCATTCGGGTATCAGTGGCCTGAAAAAGGATTATCGGCGTCTTCCGCGAATCCCGCAGTTTCTTTTTATTTTGTGCTCGACCAAGTGTATTTGGACGTATTTCTATCAAACGGGACTAAGCGCCAATTTGAGTTCCTTTTGAGATATTTAGAATGCCGGAGCCGGATAGCGCGTTCTATCAAACAGAACTAAGCGCCATGGAAAAGCATTGCGAGTAGAGGACGAAAGGAGCCCGACGCCCGGTTCCGCCGCCAATCCAAGCCCCCCTCTACCTTTCTCCCCCTATGGCGGTTAGTTCCGTTTGACAGAAATACGTCCATTTTACGGAATCATTTCGCGGCTTTTTTATACTCATACTTTTTGGTCCTAGGAGAAGGCGCTGGGGACGTCCAACAAAATCGTGGATTGGTGGCATTCAAGATTAAATTACAAGATGCCATTTACCAGATGACCTCCGGGTCGATAGACAAGAGTGGCGATTAGGTGTCGCAGAGCGCCCGGGCGCGCTGTAAAGCGACTTGAATGTATATATGTACTTTTTGATCTCGAGCTGGAGGTCCAACATTGGTCCGAAGACCAAAATCTATGAAAATTCGCGTTTCTTGGCGGCTTGGAGGACAAAGCGCGTATGCAGTTTTTGATATCTTAACCCTTGGATGCCCAAGCCGGGGCCAATTGACCAGAGGCTTCCTGAAAATACGTGCCCAGCGGGTTGTATGGGGCCGGTACGTACAAGCTTTAGCTACGGCCAAAAAACACACTACAAACAAGCGGGAAAACTCGAATACGTCAATATTAGAGAAGCGCTCAGCAATGTTCTATGTAGGTGCGTTTTCAAGTTCCCGGAAGAAAATGAGCATCCTTGAGATGATAGAACTCGCTGACAAAAATTTCGGCAATCAATTTTGAGGAAACCGCTCTACCGCTAAAAAAATAAATTATAGAAAAACTGTTATCGTGCTTCGACATCAGAGGCATTAAATAAGGGTGTCGCAGATTAATCTATTCTACAAATAGCATGTTGGCGTTTTTTACTCAACGTGCGTTAGGAATCAGCATAAAGCTGAAAATCTCAATACAGAGGGGAAAAGCTCTCACACAAGCATAATTTTCTCAAAGAAATACACTGTTTGGTGCAACAACAGAAACGGCCACTCAGGAAGGTAACTGCAGACGCGCTCCGGCTACATTGGGACTTAGGCTGTCGCTGGCGGCTGGAAACTTGCGCCATCTAGTGAGCGATTATCCAAACGAATCTTTATCCCAAGACTTAGGCTCATTTTCACGACCTCTCTGAGCTTGGCAGCAAGAAATTCAAGAGGCTATACTGCACTGAGAAATTGGTCCAAGAGGGCCGAAACGTGTCTGCAGATGTCTTTCTGAATGGTCGTTACTAGTGTTGCACCAAGCATCGTATTTTTTTGAGTGACAATGGACCACTAGACAAGGTACAAATTTAAGCATTCTGATACATGCTTCTTAACCAAAATTGCACGTAGAGCACGATTCGCGCAACGAAAACTAATGAAAAAAACTCCAGACGAAGATATTAACGTTTTTATTTCACATTGGTCACGAGGAATTTGAACTGCCCGCTCACAAGAAACTCAAAGCTCTACGTGAGTCAAATCGCGCACTACGGCGGTTTCAGCAAGCTTCTCAAACGAGCAATCTTCATTTCCCACCATGTGTTATTCAAACTATAAGTAATTTGCTATAGGTGAGCCAAAGCGTCAAGATCGAGGTTGCCAGATTTTTATATCGCACAGACTGTCATGATAACGTTTAGCGCTCGATGTGAATCACGTAGAGCATTGAGTTTTCATGAGCGGATGGTTTGAATTCACGCACCAAGAATCATTAAATATCTTCGGAAAGAGTTGATTTCGGTAATTTTCGTTGTGCGCATCGTGTTTTACGTGAAATTTTGGTGAAGAATCATGTATCAGAATGCTGAAATTCGTACCTTGTCTAGTGGTCCATTGTGCTTGTGTGTGAGCTTTTTCCCTCTATATTGAGATTTTTAGCTTTATGCTGATTTTTATCGAACAGTGGCTAAAAAACTCCAACATACTGTCTTAGGACCCGTGCATCCACCGCAATCAGTTTGTATTCAAATATGCCTGGAGGCCCCTCGCCGCGCGCGCGATCTTGTTGTTGAACTGGTGCGCCATTTGAACGCATCGTCACTGGTATACTAGAATTCTAGAGGCAGGTTAAAATAAAAAAGCACTCCCTCTTAGCAGAGCGCTTATAAGAATGACGCCATATTGAGAAAAACTGAAAACGGCCAGTGTCAACACATCCGAATTTGAAAAGACGAATTCGGGCCTTGTTTATATTAAGTTCTCTCTCGAATCTGAGCGACGCCTCTTTGGTAGTAGAGTGCCGAACACTGCGAGCTCACGCCTCGCGCCATCGCGCCTTCATTTTCGCAGATGCAACACCAACACCCATCAAGCACGAATAGCTGTATCTTTGCGCCGTCATCAATGCCCGTCTTTTCTCTCGCCCTATTTCCATGTTGTTCTTGTTTCTCTTTGCCTCATTTGCGCTGGTGCTTCATTGCTTTAAGCGCTAGGAGTAATTTTTTTTTATCGTCCAATTTTTTAAGATTCTCAACACTGGATCTACCAGACTTTTTTTCCAGTGTTATTTTTCATCCTAGGTTTTTATTTCATCACTTTCGTCACTATACTTAAATTAAACGCATCTGAATTGGACAGAATTAAAATTGAAGCTCCAACTCGGTCGTATATCTTCTTCGATGCATATTTTTCCTACTTCCTCCATTCATACCCTGGTAAAAATTGGCGATAGGAGCTGCGTTTCAAAATACCATAGGAGTTCTTATAGCCGACTGAAGAAGGCTATTGAAAATCATATAGCTGGCTGTAGAAAGCGGAGCAAATCATATAGCCGGGCTATACGAAGTTATAAAAAAGTATACAGTCGGGCTATAGTTCCTATCGCCGGGCTTTACACTTTATCGCCATTGGCTACAAAAGGCTATAAGAAATTGTGTAGAAAATTGTGTGCTTTGGAAATCATTAAGTTTGATACGGAACTACCTTAATATTTACAAAACACACATTATATTTTCCTTTACAACATATTTTTTTCATCAATTAAAATGAGAATAATCCATACAGAGTGTGCAAACATTTCAAAATCATAAGTTGAAAAACGCTGACTCCGCGAGATTAAATATTGGAGCCAAAGCGGAGCGGCGATGCACTGGCGCCTACAAACCTAACAGGGATACTTCACGCATTGCGCAATGCGTGAAGTATCCCTGTTAGGTTTGTAGGCGCCAATGCGCGTTTTGCACTCTCTGCCCGCCCGCCGCGCCGCAGCGTGCCACGGCGTCTGAAGCAACTATTTCAGACCAGAGGTATTGCACAATATCGTGCGAAATGGAAGGCTCTCCAACATATTAGGAATGGCAGGCATCCTTCAAAAGTACGGAGCTTTCCTCGCAAAATAAATCAAGATACTACGGCACAAAAAGAGAGCGGTAGTCCAAAAACTAACTAAGTCCTAGTATCCGTATTTTGTAACGTTTAGCATAAACTTAATCGTGTGGCTGTTGCTTAATCGCCATCGGCTATAAAAGGCTATAAGAAGCAGGCTACAGGAGCTATTGAAAATCTTACAGCCAGCTTTAGGTCTATGGTATTTTGAAACACAGATTCTACTGCAAATTTTTACCAGGGAACTTGTTTTCAATTCGCGTTTGACAGGTTTTCCAGTTTTCAGCGCGTAATTTGGCCCCAGTGATTGTGACGCGGGATAAATTCTTTCAGCTTGGAGTCGGGAAAATAGGTAGACGTGTAACACAGCCATAAATAGGAAAGACGCAATCTAGCCTCATTTTTAAACATTTTCCCCAATCTGACACAAAAAATGAAGTGCACTCAGGCACTCTTGATGTACTAGAGAGTATTGGTCGCGAAAAGATCCAATTTTTCGACGTAACTTGACGGTATGGAAACTCGCCGTCTCGCTATACACGGGAGGGGGTAGGGGGTTCTCTTCCCCCGGAACAGACACAAATCTTCGTTCATTTGATGTAAGGGCGTATCTTAATGTCTACGTGAGCCCTATTTCACATGTATATAAATGTATTCCGCGGCTCATGCGAAAATTAAGATACGCTCTTCCGTCAGAGGATCGACGAAATGAAAAGGTCGAAAGCCAAAGGCCTTGATTGCATTGAGGAGTCGTAAATTTTCGATTAACGATTTTTTTTCCGGCCTCTGAATGGTCACTCATCAATATCTCATTAAAACTCATCATAATTTTTTTTACGTCGTTATATCTCTGTGATTTGGCAAAAATTCCACGAACTTCGTGTACGTACAGTGTATGCACATGTCAGTTGATGAAGTAAAAACAGGGAATCTGAAGCTTCTCAGCGTCGTAAAGTAATAGTCGCTCGGGCTCTGAATTAATCCTCTTCAAATCGTCACCCTCGAGCAAAAGTATCGGAAGCGTCATGCGACGTTTCAATATTTCCGCCACCATTTTATTTTTTTTACAGAGAAATTGCCGGTGGAATCTTTTCGAAAATTTCACTGAATTTTATCGGCAACACAAAAAAAATTCAGTGACATTTCCGGACAGTTTCGTTGAACAATTTCACCGAAAAGAAATAAAATGGCGGAGGAAATTTTGAAACGTCGCATGGCGCTTGTGATGCTTCGGCGGGAAGGTGACAAAATGCGCTTAATGACATTTCATTCCTGAACCACTTTGCATTTTAACCTCGCCTCCCTTGCGGATAGAGAGGGAGGGGGAAAAAACGACAAAAAGCTAGTGAGCGGAATATTCCATTGGAACTCTTAAATCACCGTAGGTGCGAGAGCTGTATCAAAAAAAGGAATAAAAGCACAAAAAAATCAATGCTTGCCACCTTTTTTTTGTTTTTTAGCACAATTTACTGAAAAGCTGTCACACTCTCAGGAGACCTGAAGAGTTCACTTCAAATCACAAATGAAAGAAGGTGGGGGGAAAAAGAGAAAAAGAAAAGACACACAGTGCCAGGCCCAGAAAAATGCCTCTAGATTCCATTTCTAAGCGTTCTAAAGGAAAAAAGTAATTATTGAAATAGTAGAACAGACAGTGGCGTGGCGTGCTTTGCGATACATCGATTGATCTGCCATTTAAACCTATGGAAAAGGATCGATAAACAGGGTGTCCGCAACGAACACCCTAATAATCGATTCTTTATCACAGCTTCAAATGGGGGATTATCGATAATCGATCATTCACGCCGCGCAAGAGTGAAATTATGAATTGCCTAAACCAAAAAAATAATACCAAGTCCGACCAAAATACATAATATCTCGTTTGAGACAATATGAAATAAATATTCCTAACTAAAAATATATAAACGTGCGTTATTACGATTGATTCAAGAGGTCACTATTTACTTTTCGGTCATTTTTTACTTTTTTTATAATTCTTATTTTAAGCCTTTCAATGGCAAGGTGGAATGTATTAATCAAGCTTAAAAATTACGACCCAAGATAAACAACTTAACCATGATAGATATAGATCTTTGATTAATCCCACAGATTTGCAAGCATTGACTAAAATAAATTCCAAATCGATTAGTCGTAAAATTTAGCTGACCAACCGAGTAGGGATAGAATTCAAGCTTGGTGTTATCACATGCTAATCAACTATGTTATCACATGGTTGAAAACCTCGAACTAGGAAAAATTCAGCATGCCTATTCTCGCGATGCACAAATCAAACGATCTCATGTGCCCTTCTCTTAGGATCCACCGGATGGATTTTCATTTTTATTCTTCTGATTCTTTAGAATTCTTTTCTTTTACTCGACAAATGGATGTATTTCTATCAAACGAAACTAAGCGCCAATTTGAGTTCCTTTTGAGGAACTTAGAATCCCGGATAGCGCGTTCTGTCAAACGGACCTCAGCGCCATGGAAAAGCATTGCGAGTATAGGACGGAATAAGCCGGACGCCCGATTCCGCCGCCAATCCAAGCCCCCTTCTCCCCCTACCTTCCTCACCCTATGGCGCTTAGGTCCGTTTGATAGACATACGTCCAAATAATCGATATGCTTTATTGAAAATTCGAATTTCAATTATTTTTTTCAACATTAATATTTGAAATTTGATGAAAAAAAAAATTAATATTAAAAAAATCTGCCAATGAATATTCGATGAATAGGTATGGTAAATCGACAAGATTCCAAGCCAAATAAAAGGAGACTTTCTAAGGAATCATGAAGTAAACTGGTTCGAATTTCACATGGCGGGAGTAAGCACAGCCGCACAGTGGATCGAGTCAATAGGAGAGGTCAGACAAAATTTGGAACCTTTAACCGCTTAAAACTCCAATCATACAAAACTTTGAAATTCTAAAAGTGACTCCATGAGTCTTCTCGTGAAATTTTCTTCACTGAGCACCCCTTGAAGTTAAAAATGTGACGAAATAAACATTATAAAATTTGCAAAATTGCAATTCATGTCCGACCTCTCTAATTGCCTCGATCCACTGTGAGCCGACTCTCCCTGAACCATCATAACACGATTATATGACTAGCTCAGCGCAACTGACCCATACGGAAAATATTAAATTGTTGCTTTAACAATTCAATTGCGAAAAAAAGTGACTGCAATGTTTCAACGAAGATTTCTCAACACAAAAATGCTATTTTAACCACTAGTGAAATCTACATTGAAACGTTGTAGTCACTTTCTTTAGCAATTGAACTGTCAGATCAGCAATTTTATTCTTTCCGTGATTGAATTTATTTAGTAATGGACTCACCTCGCGCATCTGTCCCCGACCACTCCTCAACAAACTCTGGCTCAAGTCCGTCTTTCGTTGTAATATACTGGAGAATCTTCAATGTGAAATCCTTGGAAGCATCGTTAGGTTTGCCACGTTCTGTTATGATGAAAGCGTCTGTGCCCCGGAATTTTTCAACCCGCACTTCCGGATCCGAGCTTTTCGGTCTTGGTAGCCACGCGGGCCACTTGGATTTTGCATCCAGTCGTGCGGGTACTCTTAACATGCGCGCATTTGTCGCACGCCACGCGTAAAAGCGCGATGTTTCCGTCTTGGTGGATTTAACCCGCGATTTCCGATCGGATTCATCTTCGAATGACGACATCGATGACCACGAAGATGCGGAATTTTGCCGCTCGAGTTGTGTACGCCGTCGTCTTTGGCTCCCTTTCAGACTATGGACAGAAGAGGGTAAAGTTGTATTCAGGGTCGTCAGTGACGTGGCGTGAATCGGTTATCGATAATTCCCCATTTGATGCTAGGGTAAAGAATCGATTATTGAGGCGCTCGTTGCGAACACCCTGTATATCGATGTTTTCCATAGGTTTTAAATGGCAGATCAATTTTGCCGTGCTAAGGAAGAACGCCGTATGAGCATTCGAGATTCGCCAAATTTCCTCCGATAAAATGTTTGTTTTTGAGGAATGTTATGAATATTTTTCCTTTGAATTTTCAGGAACTTCAGGCGAAATTGCGAACAAAATAATCTGGAAAATTGGAAGGGAAATATTCATAAGTGCACCCGGAAAATCCGGAAATTCGTTTTTTATCAAAGGAGATTTTGCAACGTCTGATTTTGCCATCATACGGCGTTTTTCCTTAACACGGCAGAATTGATATAATGCAAAGCACACCACGCTACTGATGGTCGTCTCTTTAAGATGCATCTTCAGCTTTGGCGAAATAGATTCTGGATAGGAATAATATCGATGGGCAAAGTGCGAAAGCACGTATCTCCATTGCAGTGTTTCAAAGTGTTTCACCCGTATTGTACTTTCTCGGAGAGCAACAAGCTAACTTTACAGCTTGACACTTATGCACAATATTCTTCTTGCGGAGCAAAAAATTTCAAGATATTACTAGGACTAGTTTTCGGGAGAAAAAATGTAGTATGACAGTTTGTCTGCACCGTTGCAAACGGAGATAAGTGGTTTCGCACTTTGGTCATCAATAATGCAAGGTTTAATCATTTTTATTGATTTTATTTCAGTCTGAAGATCAATCATTGAGGAACGTTCGTGCTGAAAATAATCTTCCAAAATATCTAAACAAACTCGAAAGCACTGTTTCCATTTTGCAACCGATTTCGATTTATCTACCTATAGGTATCGTTGATTAAGTTTCGAAACGGTACTCTTGATTTCATTTTAAGACTTTGGAAGATGATTTTCGGCACCAATATCCCTCAATAATTTATCCATTGACTGAAATGTTGATTTTCCCTAAATAATCCACCTCGAGTTTAAAAAATGACATCCGTCCTTCATCGGTGCAGCCATACGTGCCTTCATTGAGCTATTCTACCTTGCTAAGGAATAACACCGTATTAACATTCGAGAGTTGTCAAATTTCCTCCGATGAAATGTTTATTTTTAAGGAAATTTATAAATATTGTCTCATAAAATTTTAAATTTTCGGATTACCTATTTCATTCCGATTGTGAATAAAATTGACTGAAATATTCAAAGAAAAAAATTCACAGATTGTCCTGAAAATTCGTATTTTATCAAAGGAAATTTGGCAACGTCTGGAGGCTCATACGGCGTTCTCCCTCAGCATGGCAGTAATGGGATGGACAGGGCCCTCGCGAAGGTGAATGGTCACCCCCGCAAAACCTGAAATTGCCCCCCCCCCCACCCTCAGGCCATCGATAAAGAAAAGGAGGAAAACGAAGGAGATTAGCGAGACGACAAAGAACGCAATTGAGAAAAAAGACGATATAGGAGAGGAAAAGATGGCGGAAGAGAAAAAAACAGATGATGAGAAGGGACAGAAGTTAATAGTATTGAATTCTCCTTTCTCGGTTTTTTTTTTTTTTTTATTATTATAACAAAAATGAATTGTTGTTTACTAGCATGAATAATAAAATTAGTTTGGCTAATATAATATTTTTCTACTTTTATGATCTCTAGGCTTTTCGAGATTTATGATCCTCGTAGATTTTTAAATATAGAGATAGATATAGATTTTTAATATAGATTTTTATATATATTTTTAAATATATTTTATTTATATTTTTTTTTTATATATTTATTTTTTTTATTTTTTTTCCTTCATAGATTTTTTTTGATCCTCATATGTATGAACGAAAAAGGTGGGACTGCGGTTTTGGGAGGGTACGGTGGGTCATAATTCGTCATTTCCCGCACGAAAGAACGCAACTACATCACTAAGTTGCTAAACTTTCACTTTCTTGTATTCTGACTAGAAAACTATTGAGAGTTTCTAACTATTTCAATAATTTTTCTTCTGACCCCACCCAAAAGTCAGCAACATTTTGGACAACAATTACATCGTAACATTCTTGTAAAAAGTCAAATTGTTTGAGTCAATTTTACAACCTTGGAATTGAGTAACATTTCTTTGTTTGGGATACGATGAACTGCACCCCTCCAATACATTTTATAAAATAACCCATGTTTAAGGAAATATGCTTCGGTTGCTTCCGATCGATTTTAGAAAATTAGTCTCTTTTCAATAATTTTTCCGCTTCCTCAGATTTGGCTGAAATGACGCCCTCCCCTCCCCTCTCCTGGGGAAAAAGGCGCGGGGGGAGATAGACAAGGAGAGGAAAGAGGAGGAATTATCAAAGAAGGGGGCAAAGAAGGAAGAGAAAAAGACGAGAAAGAAGGAGAGGGAAAGGTATTCGTCGTAAAGTCTTCGAGTTCTGTCCTCTCTTCCTTTCAATCCCTCTGAGCCCTTAGCTTCCGCAAAATGTGACAATCGATTGACAAAGTGAGACGGCCCATCTGTCATCATTGATGAACAAAGATAAATTTGCAAGAACTCACCACGAGCACCAACTGCGACTAAATGCTGCAAGTCGTTGCGAGGCTGACCTTGCGCCGCTATTTGAGTGGTTCCTCATCTGAAACGGAAAATGTGGGCGCTTAAGAGCTAAATCGCATTTATTTAACATGTGGAACAAATAAAAGGTCTTCAGGATTTTTTATAAAATGTGGGAATTTTAGAAGGATATATCGGGTAGATTTTTTTTAAAAAAATTCACACTGAAACTATCCAATTTTTCTTGATTATTAAAAATGGACTGCTTTTTTCAACTAGGAACTACAATTTCTGGCTCAGTTTAGAAACAAAGTATATACCTACCATTAGTTTCCCTATACGCAAGAGTGGTTTTACCGCTGAGCCACTTATTGTAGTTTCTTATTGCAAAACGATGTTCGGTTGATCGTGTGGCCAATTAGCAGTTTTTTAAGAATAATAATTATTTTTATAATAAAAATACCTACAATGTTTTTACATACATGATTACCAAAAGTTAATGTGGAATCAGTATAATCTCACGGTCTGAAACAACAGATCCACCCGCAAGGGGCATTACAAATCGATGGTGAAACTACCGGACCACGTATCTCGGTTTGCGACGTTGCAGACTTTCTGTCTCATATTAAATTTTAAAAAGAAAACCTGCCAACGTCAATTCCAAAAAAACTTCCATGATTTTTTTTCTCAGTACAAATCAGGAAACTCTGTGAAAACTTGAAGGAATAACATTTATTAGAGCTCCTTCATCAAAGCCGGGTCCAGCAATTTGGCAACACCGGATTCCCTCCGTTTAAACCTATGTTAAATAATCGATTCACGTCGGAGCACCTGGTCCTTCCAAAAATCGATAAATTTCCATAGGTTTAAATTGAAAAAAAAACAATGTTTCCAATTTACTGGATCCGCCAATGTCCTTCAAAAAAGTAAAATAGGAGCCGAGATTTACAAACACCGCAAACGAGATGCGTTGCCTGGTAGTTTCACCTCGAGACGTTTAAAACCCCTCATACTCATTCGTTAGATACGCGGTTTTACCGAAAATTCCTGTATTAATTTTTGCTGCTTATTGTTAGTTCGTGTTCGCAAATTCCACGTAAGGAAAGCATGCAAGTCGGCATTCATAGATCACTCTAACAATAGGTCACAAACAACAATGAATTCTCACAATCCGTTGGACTTATGCCTCCCCTTTTTTCCAAGGACAGTTGCATGTCTAAACGCTGACGCATTTTCAACGATTTTCCGTGAAATTTTTGTGGAAAAAAACCAAAAATTTTACGAAATTCCAGCCTGGAAAAAGACGCTCTGTCGCGTCGTAGATTCCATAAAAAAGTGGGGCAATCCGATCGGAGTTAGCTGCGACTTTGGTCTCTTAAAAATAGACCATGAAACAATCGTTTTAAGCCCTTGGGGGTATTTTTACCACTTATTTTAAGATTCAAAGGGGGGTAGGGGATAAAGCCTTTTTGATGAGACTTTAAAGTCCACTCACACTGCACAGTTCCTCTCAGAATTTCAACCCGACGCATCGGGTCCACGTCCACATTTTCCAACACAAATTTGACAACACGAAATATGTTTTGTCAAAACGCATGCGTCTCAGCCTCACCATTATCCAAAATTTCATAGCAAAATGTGTAAAATTCACTAACCTTGGAACACTCTCATACTTTAAGGATTCATATTAGGGTAAAATTATTTTCTACAGACCAAAAGGCGCCTTTTTTTGGAATATTTGCACGAAAATGTCTAATTGAATAATGACCGCATACTTAATAAGCTGCTTTCACCGATCTTTCACGATTTCTCTCTGATATAAGGAATTGGAGATGAAAGGTTTAAAAATGAGAAAATACATCGCTTAGCGACGTCACAGGATGCTANGGGGGGGGGGGGGGGGGGGGGGGGCTCATGGAAAAAACGTGTATTTTAACGGATTAGATCACTTTGGCATATAGTTTCTATAACTATCTAAGATATTTTCCCGCTCAGTTCCATCAGAAGTTTCCATTTTTAAACGCAATTTATTAATTCTAGAACATCAAAAAATTCTCAATTCCATACAAAAAACACCTTTGTCTGAGTCCGCTAACAATATAGACCTGGAAATTGCACTGGAAAAAAAACACGTTGGATCTAGAGTCCAGACTCTTGAAAACATTGACAAGAAAAAGGACTCTTGATTCAATCGAATTTAAGCTTAAATCAAAAGGAAATCCGCTCAAATTAAGAGGCTTGGACCTCAATTTAAGCTTAAATCTGATTGAATCAAGAGCATTTTTTCTTGTCGATGTTTTAAGAGTCTGGACTCTAGATCCAATGTGTTTTTTCTCCAGTGTGGAGAGAATGTCGATCTCTCACTGAAATACAATAGTGCAAATAGGATATGGATAATATTAAAAACTCACAGAACTGCAAGTGACGAAGAAGACTGCCAGATACAGGAGACCCCAGAATCGCATGACCTCCTCGCAGATGGGTCATCAAAGAACGAGAGAGAGGCACGTCAACTGGTTAGACAGTGACTTTTGCCTCCAACGAGAACAGAACGAGACGTTTGATGTTTGTGAAGAAGAGTTGACATTTTCCTCCTGGCAGCGGCATACCCTCCTTGCAATAGAACGCAGACCTTTTTTCATCTCCTAAAAAGATTTGTATCATTGTTTGTGAAGAGAGAATAATTGTACATGGGTGAATTCAAATAAGGGTCAAATTCCAGGTTCAATTTCCTCCCAAAATTTTTTTCTGAATTTTTGGGCAAACCAAACTTTATTTTGACTATCATTAGGTGTAGACTTAGGAAATATAGCTCGTCGAGCTTAATAGTTGGGCTTAAACCCAAATTTCCACCGTCAAGTGTATCACTTCCCAAAATTTGCTCTAATTTTGCCTGATTTCCCAAATTTTCGTCCCAGAGGTGACATATGATACTTTTAATTGAAAATTGAACACAATTGTCATAAAAGCATCATTGAGCACTAAATTAAAGCATAATTGAAAACATGTAACCCTTTCATATCTTGCAGAACCAAAAAAATTGAGGAAAAATCATCCGTCATGAAAGATATCTGGAGCTTATTCTGCTTGTCTTTTAGACAGTTTCGTCTGTTTATTAAAATGCGCACTGTTTTCCTTTAACACGAGAAGAAGCTTTTATTTCTTGGAATTTTTCAATACAAAATGGATCAAAAACACCGAATTTTAAAACTTCGAGTGAGCGTGTACCCGCTGAAGTGGAGATAAAGCCAGGAAAAGTTTGAGGACTAACACCGGTCAACGTTTTTTTATTTTTTTATTTATTTATTTTTTTTATTTTCCGAAGATTTGCCAATGGTTTTGGAGTAGATTTTTGGCGATGATTCTGAAGAACACCTCCATTTAACTGTATCAGTGCGATTTATCCTGGGAAAGTTCGGAATTTTTCCGGAGAAATTGGAATTTTCCTTAAAAATCTAGCTTTTCCAGAAGAGTCAATTTTCCGGAAGAATCTATGCACGATGGAAAAAACCCAGGAATTTTTCGATTTCGTAGCTTAAGATACATAAGAAACCCTATTGCACCCCTATTAAAATTTCCTTTCTTTATTCCTAATAACAAGGTTTTCCGGTCCAGTTTCATTAAAATCAATTAGTTAGTCACCGACATAGTGTTTTAAGCCACGGCCACCATCTTAGATTTTCGAATCTTGGAAATTTGACTAAAATTCGAGTTCCCCATTCAAAAATACCCGCGGGTACCAAGTTTCGCGTAAATCGCTTGATTAGGCGCTGAGGTAGCATTTTAGGCTATGTCCGCCATCTTGGATTTTCGAATTTGGAAATTTCGACTAAAAATTCAAGTTCCCCATTGAAAAATACCCGCGGGTACCAAATTTCACTTTAATCGACTGATTAGGTGCTAAGATAACATTTTAGGCCACGTCCGCCATCTTGGATTTTCGAATTTTGAAAATTCGACTAAAAATTCAAGTTCCCCATCAAAAAATACCCCCGTGTACCAAGTTCCACTTAAATCGGTCGAAAAGAGCGCCTACAGGGCTTAAACAAACAAGTCTCAGTTGATTAGGCGCTGCGATAGCATTTTAGGTCATGTCCGCCATCTTGGATTTTCGAATTTTCAAAATTCGACTAAAAATTCGAGTTCCCCGTTGAAAAATACCCCCGGGTACCAAGTTTCACTTAAAGCGGTAGAAAAGAGCGCCTACAGGGCTTAAACAAGCAAGTCTCAGTTGTAACAGTTTTCTACTCTGTCCCACTTAACTGGGACATGGGACAGGATGGAAACATATGGGACAGGATGGAACGGGACAAGATGGAACGGGACAGGATGGAATAAGCTGTTTTTTAAGCTTATCTCTAACAGTAAAGACAATTTTGGTTTTTTTTTTCTTGGAATATTTAGTAGCACATCCTAGAGGATCGGAATAAGAGAAAATTTTCCCTAACGCACACTTCGAAAGTATTTTACGAGCTGATATTAGTGTGTGTGTGTATGCTTGACGCCCTGTTAGTTATCGTGTATAGAATTCTGTTTGGCATCGTTAATGGCGTTAATCTTGCACAAAAATTTGCGAATTTCAGAATTTTTGCCATCTACGACGTGTAAACTATTCAATCAAAACAAAAAAAGTCGTTTTTGGAAAAACCTCAACGTTACGGCAATCATTTAGAGCTTATTACATCGTTGCCATGTCTCTCCTGACTGTTGCTGACTGTTGCTCGGGACAATGATTCGAGGGCGTGAAAAAGTTATTGATCGAGCAAAAAAGAAATTGACATATTTTTTTTCTCAAATTCAAAAGCATTACCTATCATCTCCGATAAAGTTTTCTCAAATAATCACTCTGGTTATGCTGCAACATCGATTTAAAGTCAAGAACCAGGCATGGGGGACACGCAAATTTGGGACAAATATAGGCAATTTGCACATTCAAAGTTCTCCTAAATTTTTATTTCAGTCCAAATAAAGTGGGAAACAGCATGTAATAGTCAACAATAGTGTGGAAAATGAGAAAAAAATTTGATTTGCCCATGTTTCTCAGATTATGACGATTAAAACAGCTCGGGACACCAGATTAGACGCTTATTTGAACTCACCCACATGCACGACACGTCCTCCTAAAGCACGGGGAAATGGACGTTTCTTTTTAAGTGATTTTTAAAACAAAAAAGTAAAATCTACAAGAGTGGTCCACGGCACGGTCGGTTTAGTACGTTTCTAAACCAGCGGTGTCATTGTAGCTGGCGAATTCTGCGTCAAAAATAATGCGGAGTGCCGTCAGAAGAAGGCGTATGACGTACCTATTCGATTAACTCCCTTTTTTGTGAACGCTCTCTGCGTTTCCACGCAGTGCGCCGAATATTTTCCCGTCACCCCTCCAGATAAATGCAGAACATCCCAAGTAGCAGTTATCGCGATAAATAGCGATTTTATCGGTTGACTATCGCGATTATATCGGTGGCAATGTATCGCAATATTATCGAATAAAAAATTGCGATTTATGGCGATTAAATCGCTATACATCGCAATTTTTTGTTGAATAAAATCGCGATCAATTTTCGTCAATAAAATCGAGATTAAATCGCCATATATCGCGATGTTTGTTGCGATGATATCGCGATAAATTGCCGGGCGATAAAATCGCGATTTTATTGCAACAAGTTCGAGGATAATCGCTTAGATGTTGATGATCTTAGCGATTTTATCGCCGACAAAATCGCAACGAATCGCGATTTTTCCGTTGAAAAATGCTACTTGGGATCGAGGCAAGATCCACTTTGAAAATCTCAAAAAGAAATAATGTGATTGATATAATTAATATACTGTAGTATTAACAGTAATATTATTTTCCCTAGCCTATGAATGATATTTTAGCATATGATATACCACAACAAGCTGAACTGCAACGAAACTGAGCGCAAGAACTAAAGCCTCAGTGTCCACACGAGCGCGGTTCGAAGAACTTCGGGTGAACTTTTTCCAGGAACTTTGTTAAAACTCAGCTGTTCCAGGAACTTTGTTAAAACTCAGCTATGACTTTTTCTGAAACCCGAAGTTCGCGGAACTTTTCCGTCCAAACTGAGCTCGTGTTGACAGGGACAAAAGAAAGACTGCCTGGAAGCTTTTTTGTGGTATGTGGCACGCGGGCATTTCTAGGAAAAGTGTCGGGTTTTAGACACGATAATTTGTAAAGGGTGTTATAGAAAATATCGGATTTTACCTGATGTAAATGCAGTGAAAAATAAGTCTTTTCAACGAATTCTGAAAAGTGAAATTGTGAAAGTCACTGAATCAAATTTCATTTTCAGCTTTTTCTGCTCAAAACGTCACGGCCGTCAGATTCATGATCGTTAAGTTGCAATGTGTACGGCCTCATAACCTTTTTTTCGTCCGATAAATTGCTCCGAATTTTGTACCAATTTCATGAAAAAAAAATATTGTAGCTAAATTAACAATGTATTTGACTACGAAATAAATATGTTTTTCACCCAAAATGTATAAACATATGCTGTTATTAAGTTTTAGGTACACACGACCGTCATTTACAGGTGCATATTTTTGGTCGTCAAAACAGCCGCTGGGAGCAGTCAAATCGATAGGTACAACACTGTTTAATTCCGTTGAGTGAATAGTTCACATCGAATTAGATTGTGCATTAGTAACTGCCGGAATTTAGAAGATTCTGGTTTGAGTTGAACGGCATATTTATTCAATTGAAACTTTGCATGCGTCGTGACTATCATGCCAATTTTTAGCAAAAAATTGTTGTTTTTAGATGGAAAAAAAACTTGAGCAACTATTTTTCTTTGTTCTTTCTTTTAATAAAGTATTACGGTACAACTCTAAAAAAAACACGCATTTCAAAACATCTCCCTTACTATATGTATAGTAAACCAAAATAATGAATGTGACGATCGTGGCAATTATTTTCAATGATTTCTTCAACCAGAAAAACGCCTGATAAAAGAGGTAGCTGCATTTAATGTTTAAGCCTGATACCATACAGAGCTAGAAAATAAATGCTTGATCCCAAAAAATGAAGTTAAATTTTTGGTAGGTCAAATTGGAAAGTTTTCATAGGATTGCCCATATCGACGGTGTAAGTCGGCAATCGTATAACTCGGTTTGCGACGTCGCAGACTTTCTGTCATACTTTATTTTTCAAACGGAAAACTTCTCAACGGCAATTCTTTAAAACTGCCGTGATTTTTCTTCTCTGTGCCAAGAAAATTCGACAAAAACCTTAAGGAGGGATGTCGATTTTTTCTCCTTTAAAAAAATAACATAGAGGCGGAGATTTTCGGACACCGTAAACAAGATATGTGATTACCGACTTACACCGTCGATATGTATGTATAGTGTTAATAAATTATATACATAACGTTATTCTTTTTTTTTTTCAACAGTGCACAGGCACGCATACCAAAATGATGGTAGAGTAGTGGAAAATCCAAGCCAGGAAGAATCTAAAATTAGAATCTGAGTCACAAAATATATGCTTCTATATGTATTGGTTACTGAAAAAGTGAACTGGAATTCTAAAATTTACCTGCAGAATAGTACCTATGTGGACCCAGAATCGTTCTACCATTGTGTCACTTGGGTCCCTATTCAGTTGGGCCAATTGCAGTGTCTTTCACTCATTTTGCTAAGATGTTAACATTGAACATGCTCGCGT